AGCGTCGTGCGGGGCAGAGCAACCAAATATCCTGTACCATTGTCCTCCCTTGCCCCTGGCAGGATGAAATGTGGACACCCTGCCCTCCTCCACAATTGTGAGGGATAGTTGGGCGAATGGAGTTCAATTTGGAGGACAACCAATCCCAGCTTGAAGATAAGCCCACCATGATAGGTGGGCAGGAGTCTACGGATACGAAGGAGAGGAGGAAGGAGAGAGGAATCCCCCTGTCAGCATGCAGGGGGATGAGGGAACCAAAGGCAGGCACTGGGACTTAGCACCAGATGTGCTTTGATTTGAATAAAGGGCTTCGACACGAATTACATCATTTCCTACTCCCAGCATCCCCCTGACATGAGTGCTTCCTTATAACCACTTTCTAGGGTTCCAGGGTAGGAAACAGATTTAGATGCTTTGTCCAAGGTAAATATCTAGTTAAATGATCCAACAATTCCAGTGGGGTCTTCCACCTGAATGTCTGGTTCCTTTTCCAACTTATCCTATCTTTATGTGAGAAAAGACAAGATTTTCTCATTTTTTTCCCCATATCCAAATATTTCCAATCCTGGCCTTATTGTGGATCAGGGACGTTTCGCTTGCCGTCTTTTTATTTGAAGGTTGCATTGCAGGTAGAGATTGCCTTTGGAGGAAGAAGCCACCCAAAGGTAGCCTAACTTCAGCGTGACAGTTATGTGGACCTTGGAGATGTTTCTTCCTGGGTATCTGATGCTTATGACATCTCATGTTTCCCCTAAATATTATAACGGGGAGGAAGGTCACCCCCATAAATTAGAAGAGGACCGTGAGGCATGGAGGGAGGTGTCACTGGACTCAGATCCCTGGAGCTGCTGGGCGAGGCCGCGATCTAGCATTTTGCCCTCCCCGCCCTCTGGCATGCACCCTCCTTTCAGCCTTCCAGAAGGGACTCGGGAAATGTGCCTGCAGCAGCTGCCGCTGTAGCTGCAGATTGGCGTCTGTGGCATATGGACCCCATTTGGACTGATGGAGATTTTTAGGGGAAGCATGGTCATAGCCCTTTAACACACACTCCACGACAGCAACGGGAGATAGACGCTCCTCCCTTTTTACATTACCCAGTCCCCACCGGCTCGACACAGACTTGCCTCCTCTTTTTTTTCTTTGTCCTCAAACGACCCATTCAAGTTCAGATGCTATGAAGAAAGCATCATGTTACTAACTTAACATTTATAGCAAAAGAAACCCCTAGTTATGCATTTGTAAAGCATAGCCAGGCATAACCAAAGAGAATTAATTCATAACTCCAAGCTTATTTGGCTCTGAGATTTTTTAAATTGTTAAACCTGTATTAAATTGTTGTATCTATGTTATTATATTAAAGTATATTATATAAGTTATATTGCTAAGCCTATATTAAATTGATTTTAAAAGTTTGAGTGTTTCCTAATCGTATTTTTTAATCAAAGAAATGAAGCAACTCAGTATTGTTTAGTAGATTTAATTAAACTGTAAAGGACTGTCATATTTTTGAATAAGTGCATTAACAGTCTTCACATTGGATATTATCGAGTCATAAAAGTACACTATTATTATATTTATACAGGGCGGCTTGGCTTGGCTGGAGCTGAGAGACACCCAGACACGCCATTGTGCAGAGTTGGGTGACATCTTCCTGTGCTAGAAGCAGAATCCATAAGCTCCGTGGCTGTCATGGAACGTTTTGGAATGCATAAACAGGTATCTAGTCATTTCTCCTGATCTCATTCTTCACGCGGGACAGATCTTGGTCCTGTCCACAACTGGGGCTCCATTAATTGGCATGCCTGATGAGCATATGGTGGGGAAGCCTGATTGCAGGAGGGTCCCCAAGAGAACGAAAAAGTCACTGTAAGCAAAGAAGACTCAAATACAATGTGAGGCAGAATCCCTGGTCTACCCCCCACTTCCATCCCTAACCAGGTGCTGATGCTTCCCGGGAAGGAGAGGGCTGTGTGGTAACACTGAGCCTTGTTTCCCTAGGAGCCCAAGCCACTCTGCTGGGAGACTTCCCTCCAGGAGTTCTGGGTGCAAGAGTGAAGGCGACTCCCCACTGGCTAGAGAGAGGTGAGGCAGCAGAGACCCAGAAGGCAGTGAAAACAGCTCTTGCACACGCTTCCGATGGGGCAGCCCCACCACGTGGCTGCGTGAGAGAAGCAGCAGCCACTGGGCTGCAGAGCCACAGGCCGTGGTCCTGTCACAACTGAGATACTAACCGCCCACCTTGGGTCAGGTATGGAGACCCCACGGAAAGTGCCGAGCTCTTGCCACTGAGCAGTAAGGGTCATTGGTACAGAAAACGAGGGCCTAGGACCCGTTCGCTGGTGGGTTATAAGTTTAGAAGTTCATCCAGGATATTCTCAATTCTAAGGCAACGCCCATCTACCCCACAAACTAATCTGTAGCCATAGAGTTCAAGCGAGTCAATACCTGGGCAATGGCGCTGGCCCTGTTGGAGGACTGGTGTAGGATCATGAGTGTGGATGATCAGAAATCACTGATGGTCATGGGGATACCCGTGGGCTGCAATGAAGCCGAGATTCAGGAGGTCCTCCAGGAGACTTTAAAGTCTCTGGGCAGGTATAGAGTGCTTGGCAAAATATTCAGGAAGCAGGAGAATGCCAGTGCTGTGTTGGTAGAGCTTCTGGAGGACACCAACGTCTCCGTGATCCCCAGCGAGGTTCAGGGAAAGGGGGGTATCTGGAAAGTGATCTTTAAGACCCCTAACCAGGACACTGAATTTCTTGAAAGACTGAACCTCTTTCTAGAGAAAGAGGGGCAGACGGTCTCGGGAATGTTCCGAGCGCTTGGGCATGAGGGAGTGTCTCCAGTGGCCATGCCCTGTGTCTCACCGGAGTTATTGGCCCATCTCCTGGGACAGGCAATAGCACACGCCCCTCAGCCTTTGCTCCCCATGAGGTACCGGAAACAGAGTGTTCTCGGGGAGCGCTGTGCCCGTGCCAGAGGAAGAGCCCTTTGAAATCTGGTTGGAACAGGCCACCGAGATAGTCAAAGAGTGGCCGGTAGCAAAGGCAGAAAAGAAAAGATGGTTGATGGAAAGCCTTCGTGGCCCTGCCCTGGACCTCATGCACATAGTCCAGGCAGACAATCCGTCCATAAGTGTGGAAGAGTGTTTGGAAGCATTTAAGCAAGTGTTTGGAAGCCTGGAGAGTCGTAGGACCTCCCAGGTGAAATACCTGAAGACCTATCAGGAGGAAGGAGAGAAAGTCTCAGCGTACGTGTTACGGTTAGAAACCCTGCTGCGGAGAGCTGTGGAGAAGCGGGCCATCCCAAGGAACAGCGCGGACCAGGTCCGCTTGGAGCAGGTCACGGCCGGGGCGAGCCTCAGTGAGATCCTCTGGTGTAGGCTTAGGGAGCTGAGAGACCAGGGGCCTCCTCCCAGCTTCCTGGACTTAATGAAGGTAATCCGCGAAGAAAGGGAGGAAGAAGCCGCTTTTGAAAATGAGAATAGTGAAGTGCCGGAAAGTGGAGATGGCTATGGCCACTGGGATAACGGGGCCGGAGACTAAAACCCAACTCACAGGGGGACCCACAGCCGGCACGGGGAGAGACAGCCATTCTACCAGGCTAAGACCTTTTCAGTCTTTTTTTCCTCTGATTTACGCAGTTGAAACCAAGGCATTCAAGCCCAGTCTTGATTCTTCTTTCTAAGAAAAAAAAAATATCTGAGAGTTTTTTGGACCCTACATAGATTATTAATACACAAAAAATTAAATTCCAAATACGAGATAGTACGCCTAAAGGGATCTGAACCAGGTTTCCTTTAAATACCCCCCCAATAGACCAAAAGAAAGAAATGATGTGAGAAAAAAAAAAAATCTTTTGTCATCTATGTAAAAATCCAAGCTGTTTGAATTATCAAGTGTTTTCCTTTCTCACATCAGCAAGAGTACCGAGTACACATCTCTGAGTACCAAGCCACGTGAGGCAGTGTTCAAAGAGCTAACGGTCATAAACCTACCAGCCTGGCCCTGCTCTCAGGGAGGACATAGCCTCCGAGTATGCAAAGCTAAATAACCTTACGTGTAAACGAGTTCATGACGCCAACAGAAGCCAAGAGAAGTGTCCTTGCCAAATGAGCACGACACCTCTATCTTAGGTTTCTCCCTTTTCTTACTTGGGAAGCACTTCCCGCTTCTCTGCTGGGTGTCAGATAGATGGTTCCAGGCAGTGTGTTGGGCCCTGAGGACACAGAGGTCCACAGTGTGAGGGACATCCTCAAGAAAGGGTAGACATCACAGGAGGGCCTGATGGAGCATGGGGCTGTGCAGGCCATGTTTGGATTCGGGCCAGCCTGGATAGAGAGGAGTTTTAGTGGCAACAAAGGGCAAAGGGGAGAGGACGAGAGCTCACAGTTACTGAGGACCTGCTCGGTTCTGGGCACTTTACACGTGTGTCATTTTATGAGTACAGCGCCCCCAGTGTGGTATAATTATGCTCATTTTAAACGAGAAGGGAAAAAAAACTCAGATGGGTTACATGGTCTGCTCAACATCAAAATGCTATCAGGTGGCAGAGCCCAGACAGAAGTCCAGACCTCTCTGACACTGGCTAATCCTCTCTCCACCATGATCGCGGTTTTCAAATTGTGCTTTGCAGTTCTGCAGGGATTTTTCAGCAGTTCTAGCTTGAAAATGTATGTTAAACTCTTTAAATCTCTAATAAATAACAGATAGACACAAGCTTGTTGATATCCGAATTTTAACACACTGGCATTTACCAACAGGCTCGCTTTTGTTTTCAGATTGACTCATTTTGTACAGACCTTGGAAGAAAGGTTCCCTTGGCGATATGTGAGCACACATCCAAGCTTATTTTAATTCTTCATGGATTAAGGAAGCCATAGCATGTCAGAGGTGTTTAAATCAGGCCCGTGCATGTCCTGTGACGTCAAGTGCGCTTCAAGCATAAATGAGCATCATTCAGTTAAATGCTAGGCAAGGCTCCAACACAACTGATGTATAGCATCATGATAGCTTTGTATGTACAATAAACAAGTGGCTTAACTTCTTGAAATATCAGTTTCCTCATCAGAAAAATGGGAGGACAATAGAATAGGATTGTTGCTAAGATCAAATGACATAATGCCTTTTAAGCACTTAGTGTGATGTCTGGAACATAGAAAGCCCTCAATACATCGAGACTCTTTTTATTATTTTCACAATGCTTACTGTCCGGCCAATGCATGCTCTCTTCCTTTTCTAACAGTCCTGCAGTAACAAGTAAATATGTAATCTGCCTGTGAGGTTGTGACAACATTGCATTAGACACCGTTTTGGCTCTTGTGGTAAGTCTGAGTGTTTGTTGTCTGTTATCTTTGTGATAAATTTTCCAGCCATTGTTGACCATTGTTAGTGATTATAAGAAATAACTTCTCTCCGATCGTGAATAATTTTAACTGAAGAATATCCTGAGATTGTAAGAAAAACGTTTTTTTTTAAAGAGGTACCATTTGTGATCATTTATCTAAGTTATATTTTTCAGTACTGTTCAACCAAAGTGATACAACTGTCATCCTCTACACCCTGATTTCATGTGTTTTTTGTAGTCATGAAAATGGCCTTGTTGCTCTCATGTAGTCACAGTATGCAAAGTAAAGTCTTATAAATGTGAAGTTATAAAATAAATACATGCTGGTAATAAAATTCTGAGTTTTTTCTGCTTCATGTGTTGTGGTTCTGTATAAACTATGCTTGAAGGGATTTCATTACTAAAAAAAAAAAAAAATTGAGAGGTAAGATTAAAAAATCAAGCTAAAACCAAAAGGTCTTGAACTCTTCTAGAAAAGAAAACCTGAGAGCAAAATGCTGGAATGGGAATACTTGGGCTTTGTCTCCAAGGATGAGAGAGAGCTCAGTCCACCCGTCATTGATTTCCCCTTTAAAATACAAGAAACGACAGATGGAGGCCAGTTCCCTTGGAGACCTCCAACTCATTTGCTTAGGCAAGTGACCGCACAGATACATTCAGCAGCCTCTATTCTGCTAAGGGTGAAATGACCTAAAGGTGAAATACTGCATTTCTTGGATGAAATCATTTTTCACTATATGGATGTATAAAGGGGATAAAATTTCTCTTGCCTCTGGCCCTCGAAACTTCTCTTCCTCTTCTGTACAGCGCAATGAGGGAGCATTCCTCAGAGGCCGTACACAGTGCAGACTGACCCATTATAAGGTGGGTGTCTGGAGGAATACCCAGCATTCTCTCCCAATCACTTGAGCAAAACCTCCCAGGAGATTGGTCTCCCCTTGTACTTAATCTGTCTCCGGTCCTGACCCTGGAGTTAACTTTTCACCAGGGGCCGCCCACCTCTTCAGGCCAAGCCTCTCCTTCTGTTGTCTTCTGCTGTTCGTCCTAAACCAAGACTCTCTGGTCATCTGTTCCCATCTTTACCCTCATGTCCATACTACACTGTGCCTCTTCCCACTGTTGATCTTTAAGACCCTCCAACATACCAACTGGATATTCCACGAGGTCCTAAACAAACTAGTCTATATCATCAAAGTCCCTGCAGAATACCCCGTCACCATAGTCCTTAATTGAACTCTGGTCCTCCTGGTGGTCTGTCGCCCTCAAGTCCCTTGAGTGGAAGCTGCTCAGTCTCTCTCACCTCAGGAGTGGTGACAGCATCTCTTTCATTCACCGTCATCACTTCCCCACTTGCAAACGCCTTTGCTCCCTCCTGGCATATCCTCACTCACTCTGCTGCACCACCCACTGTGGCTTGGTCCTGACAAGCCTGGACAGAGCACTGGCAAAGAAACTAATGTTCTCGGGTTGGGGGGATGCGGCATTTAAGACGGAATCTGGCTGGGTGTTATCACAAGAAATAGGAAGGAAAAGCTAATGAATACAAACAATGTCCAAGGGAGACCTACAAGCAAGACTGGAAAAGCAGAGTTTTTAAGCTAGAGCGTTGGAGGGTAGAGTTTTGAAGGAGTGGAACCTGAGATGAAGCATACAAGTGCGGTTAAGGGGATCTGAGACAAGTATTGTCACACTCACTCGGGGTGTGTTTTGTTGTTGTTGTCTGACCAGCATAATCTTTGGATGGTCTAAAGGCCCAGGATCAGGGCAGACATCTCTCCCATCCCCCACCTGTTTGTGTGGACCAGGATCTCCTTGAGTTTGCCCAGGGAAGACTTAACACTCATCCAGAAGCTCTCCTGGGGTGGAAGATGGTGTCCCAGAATGGGCTTCTCCGAAGCTAGCCTTCTCACTCTAGCAGGCCCTGGAGTTGTCCCTGGTCCAGACCTCTGTTACCCAACTCTCTGCAGTGCCAAAGTGGTCCTTGACATCCCAAATGGACATTTTCTTAAAAACCAGAGTAACGCCAGAAGTGTATGCCAAAGTCAATTCTATCGTAAGAGAAAAAAAAGAGTGTAGGATTTCAGTGTCTCTTTCAGGCCACCAGCTGGAGCTGCCCATTTATCATCGGGGCTGCTTTAAGCGGCAGCTGAGACTTCCCCATCTGCCCACACCCCGGCCCCGCCCCCTTGAAGGGACAAGTTCCCAGAGGGAGGAGTTACCCAGACTGCACCATGGTGCTCAGGCTGGGAGCCATTGCAGGATGTCCCCAGGGAAGGGCTGGGAAGCTCACACCGCCCCCCACCCCCC